TAAACGACCGCGGGATATGATCATGATTTTACCGCAATCGCGCGAGACGATGATAATGTCTAAACGACCATGGGATATGATCATGATTTTACCGCGATCGCTCAATACTACAATAAGATCTACAGAGCTGCGATGGATGATCAGAACATTGCCGCGATCACAGAAGACGAAGATAATGTCCACACAATCGCAGGAAACAGTCAGAAATTTCCCTTGATCGCGGAAGACAATAATGATCTCCACATGACTGCGGGATATTATTAACATTTTGACCTAATCGCAGGAGATGATTAAAGGATGTCTTCACAACCATTGGAGACTATTATGATGTCTACAGGACCACGGGAGTTACAATAATGATGTCTACTCTGCACAGGGCTGCGAGGGATGATCAGAATTTCACCGCAATGTCGCGTAAGACGATGATAATGTCTACTCAACCACGGGAAAGATCAGAATTTTGCCTCATTCGCAAAAGACGATGATGATCTCTAAACGACCACGGGAGATGATTACCATTTGCCACAATGGCGGGAGAGGATGACAATGCCTCACGACCGCGGGAAGCGATGATGTCTTCAGGGCTGTGAGGGATTATCAGAACTAGGCCTATATCGTGATCACGCAAGGAGATGATAATGTCCACACGACCCCGGGAAAAGATTACAATTTTGCCTCATTCGTGTAAACAGTGATCATCTCATCACGACCGCGGGATGTGTTCATATATTGCCACGATCAAGGAAGATGATAATTATGTCCACGCGTCCACCGAAAATAGTCAGAATATTGCCGCGATTGCGGGAGACGGACGATGATGATGTATACTCAACATCAGGAAATAATTACCATCTTGCCGCAATTGCGGGAGACTGTTAAGATGTCTACACGGCCGCAAGGGATTGTCAGTTTACCGCAATCACATACAAATACAGCCCCATACTTTTCCAATTTGTTGGCGCCCCTCAAAAAAGCCAATCGCCTCGCGCCCTAGGCACGTGCCTACCTTGCCTATTCGGTAAATCGGCCCTGCAGCTAATGGTATTTTTTGGTTACTGGGCTATGAACATATTGACTCCATTTTAAATGTTCAGAAATAGATTTTCAATTTATATTGTTTGTTTTGGTCTTCAATTCTATTTGTTTTAGTTTAAACTTTTAATAAATTTATGATCATAAATTTAAATTTGAATGATTATAATGCGAGCTAATGAGCTGGTATCACATGTCTGCTATGTTATCTTATGGGAAGTCTGGCGCTAAACAACACTACTTGCGACGTTGCCAATTCTACTAGTCCGCGGCCTGGAGTTAAAGGTGGCCGTGATGTATTGTTTAAGGAACTACATGTAAAGCGAAGAATCATTATTTTACTTTGTATAACAGGAAAATATCTTAAAAACCCCAGCCATAGCGAACCTGTACACAAAGCATACTTTCTGTTGCTTTATTGAGTGTTTATTCTAACAGGTCCTTTTAAAAGTAAACTATTTGATTGCATTAGGCTACTTGGTCTTATCATACTTTCTGTGGTCCTTTAATGGAACTTGTGCCATTTATTTTTTTACCAGTCAAAATCATTCGTACTTACGTGTTATACTGTTCACACTTAACCTAACCTAAGGGTGGTTAGGTTAGGTTAGGAAGATTTTGTTATTTAAACTAGTGAAAATTTTATTTGGAATGATTTATTGATGTGTTCAGTATGATAAGTTTAAGTAATAAATCATTGTGATTTTTAATTGTTGACAATATACCACCTCTTTTCCAGTTGCACTGGTAAAGTCGATTTATTTTTAATCAAGTAATATTTGATTTTCGCTTGTTTAGAGTGTTGTCTTGTAGATTGAACAAAACCAAATTGTACTTTTTTTTTAATAGTATGGCTTAATATTTATAACGTTAACTTAACAGAATAGTCTTAATTTAATAGAAACTAAATGTTCTTTTCATTAATTTGATCTACTTAATTTTAAGTAAATAAATAATATTAAAAATGTTAAGTAAAACATGTTTAGGCCATGTTGCAGGTCAGAGAGGACTGACTCCATTTGAAGATGAACAGTTCATGTCCAAGGTGTTTTTGTGGGTCGCAATCCTGTTTGTGTGTTGGCTTCTTCTTGCATAGTGCTGCCTTCCCCTATATTGGCAATACACATCGCTCACTGTACCAATTTACTGTGGAAAATGTTATATACCTAATCTTTATAATATTTAATAATTCAAAATGTGTGTAGGGTGTTTGGATGATTTTTATTACGTCTAATATGTATTAAAATTAAGTTGTAATAGTTTAGATTCTTTAAGAGATTTTTTTAAAGGATATAGTTTGCACTCAATATATTTAATGTATGATTTGCTTTTATGGAGTAGGCCTAATCTGAAATAGTGAGTGTCACATATTGATACCGTATTTCGTAGACAATGAGTAATGGAAATACTTGGTTCAGAGTTGAGCTTAGGCAGTTTAGCATGGAGACTGGAGAGTGTAACGTTTACACCACAAGGTCTTGTGGGTAAATATCAGGAGAGTTGGAATTATAGAGACGCTTTATCAAAGCCACTATTGCTGTGATTGTTAGGATAACATGCTATGTATATAGAAATCACAATTTGCCACAAATTGTACATAATATTGATATTTATGAGCCTTGTTAGTCTGTATTTTGAATAGGTTTAAGATAATTTCATGTCTTGTAAAATCCATTGAGTGATGATCAATACAGTACTTTTCTCTTCAAAAACCATGTTTTTGGTTTTTTTTATTTATTTCTAATAGTGTTGCAGTTTACACCATTTGAATTACTGCATTCTCTGGTCCTCTTATGTTATTTATTTTGTTTATTATTCTACTCGCTTATTTCCCATGTCTTTTTATTTTAAATATTTCATACCAGTATGTAATTTTTTTACTATTTGTGGCATTTTGAAATGTGGGTTGGATATCAAAGGAGTGTAAATAGTCAATAATTGTGTACAAAGCATATCATAATATTATGTTATACACTTCAGTTGCTCACTTGTAGCTATTATGTACCAGTATTTAATTTTACCTGTTTGTACAACTGAAGTAGGAATAAAAGTTTGTGAGTTCATTTGATGTATTTTATATCCTACTCTCTGCTTCTCAGTTGATTTAGTTAACATTTCAAACTAAAAGAAATTTACAATTATAAACTGAACATGTTCTCACAATAGTGAATGTGGAGCTGAGGCTAAAACTGAGATAAGAACAAAAACCAACTTTCAGGCAAAGTGCTGAATGTTTTTAGAAAATAAGAGTAACCTTTAATCAGCCACAAAGAAAACAACTGTGCAGGTAAAATCAATTTATTACACATCTTAGCACTCAAAGGCATAAGCCTATTTTTTATTTCTCTGTTAATATTGTTTTTAAGGTTGTCCTTTTATGGCTTTTATTTTACATCATATTTACTTCAACACAATATGTTCATATTTAACCAAAATAAAAGTAAATACTAATACACCCCTGCCGCAGCAAACCTGCCAACTAAGCGAATTCTTCCCATTTGCATTAATTGATTTCAATTAAATCTATATAATTAACATTTAGGTTTAACGAGTTTGCTCCCTAGGTTTGGTTTACCTAAGTTTGCTGCTACAGGGAAATTAGTAGTGTGTTTTTTAGTAAAATAACTATAAGTTATAAGATAATAAATTTGCCAAGTTTGATCAAAATATATCCATAAACAAGCAAACGACAACATTTTACAATATTCTCCATAAGAATGATATTGGAATTTTAAATTGAACAATTTTATGAATTTTCTCCAATTTACCAATAAACCAATAACCGTACAAAAAAACCATTTGATACACTAAATGTTTTGTTTTTTTAAGCTCCTTAAAAAGGTCTGGAGAGAAATTGGGAAATTTGGTGTTTTGAGGGAAAAAAATAATCAAACCCCATTTTTACCCCATAAAACCCTCGTTCCCATGGTCCGATCATGCTGGTTAGCAAACTCATTCAAGTTTATCCCGCTTTACACCTTTAAACCAAATTCCATCAAAATCGGACAAAAATTACTCAAGTTATTGTGTTCAGGAACATATATAACTCAATTTAAAATGTAAGAATTCGAACGAATGGTGTTTTTGGCCTCTAGGGACATCAAAATGAACAAGTACTGTAAATCGGTCCCGGGCCTAGGTGTTACCGTGCCACCTACGGTAATAGCTACTACTTCCCTACACAGGGAAATTTGCTAAAAAGAAATCTGTGTCCTTCTCTATACTAATGTAACTCACACATCTGCCCAATTACTGACCGGATAACTCCTTTGGGGGACGGTCCACAAGGAGTCAGACAAATAGCAGCATACGTCGAGTTTGGTATCAAATTAAAGGTCTCCGTTAGTAAAATACAATGCCACAAACCCAAACTAAAACGGACAATGGAGTAAAAAATGACAGCTGTTCAAATCATCATGAATATCAGTAGATCACCCTTAACCTGTAGCCTGCTTTAAGACCATTAAGAGGTTTTACAACTGCAACAACAGACTTAAATTAATTCATGGTTTCCCATGAGCAAACAACTGGGACGGGTGGCGTCGTCCTGTAATCCAGCTACTAGGAGGTCACGAATTGTGGATGCACTGTGGATGCGATGCTCCCTGGTGTGGATTAACGTCCGCACTAGTGAGTACTACGACTATCCGCAGTACTATCCTGATAATTAGACCAATTCGTAAATTACAAGGAAAAATGTGGTTCGGATTCCACTATAAACTGTAGGTCCCTTGGTTGCCATTAGCTGTATGGGCTATTAATTAACAGCTGTGTCTAAGGAACATGTCGGCCTAAGTCACTAACAAGACTACAAGATCGCGCCACTCATCCTAAACTCATCCATCACTCATATTTGGGTTAAAATACGCACATAGTGGCGTCCCCATCTTAAATTATTGATATTGAAAAATTAAAGAAAAAAATACCGGTCTCAAGGAATTAAGTATATACTCACATTACAATAAAATTATATTTTTTTAGTTTTTACACTGTACAAATTCATTTAAACTCTTTCACCACTTGATGTTGAGCGCATTTGAGTTTTTCTCAAGCGCATGGTAAGTGGTGTGTAGCATTGCTTTAGTCTTGTCTGAATGTCGTCCTTGCAGCCATGTCTTGTAGAGGACTTCAACTGTGGAGTTGTCCTGGGACCTGTGTAGTGGCAATAATCTGTACAAGCTCTCCAACTGACCAGTCCACTCTCTTGGGGACACTCCGTCTTTGGGACGCACCTGCGCACCTCCATTCAAACATCCTGTTAGGACAATCACAGGATGTTCACAGTAAACATAAATAAAGGATATGATCAAAATCGTTATCTTAAAGGTTCAATTACATATAAAATAAGCTGTGTTTCTATATCACATAGTAGCATAGTTGTAAATCAACATATTGTTGATTTAGCACAGGACAAATGCAAATATTAAGTGAAACTTAATTTTTGCAGAAATTTGTTTGCATTTGGCCTACATATTATGTGTGCATTAAATTTTACACAATGTTACAATTATTTCAACTTAGAAGCCAAGTTTTTCGATGTTACAATGAGTAGTTGCTATATCAAAACCAAGAAGATTTGAATAAACAGACTTTGCACGCCAAAGTCTATCATTAGTAAAGCAACTAGAGGAGTATTCAATAATTTCAATTTCATTGAATTATTGGCTACTAGAAGGTGCATACATTTTTTTATAAATTTGTTATATTATAAATTAGAAAGTAATATTTTTAAACAAGTTAGATTTATTCCCTGTTTAAATAGGATTAGTTAAACTAGTACATAGGTTCTCTTCTACAGGTAGGGTAATAAAGTGTATTTTTGATGTGTTTAACTGATGTAGATGCATACTCCTTGATGTTTGGCAGGAAGATTCGAACACACATAGCTCTTTTACATCCCACATGTAAACAAGAAACTGAACATGTGAAGCAAGCAACAAGATATTTTAAGGAGGGAGACAGAGTACAAGCTAGAAATTATTCAAACTCTAAAGACAAGTGGAGTTTTGGAAGAATATTGGAAAGGGAAAGCAACCTTCTGTATAAAGTACAAATGGACGATGGAACTGTCTGGAGGCGTCATGTTGACCAACTACTCAAATGCGAAATAACTTTACCAAAACATTTCAGAGGGGAGAATTGATGTGTTTAACTGATGTACTATTAAGACCATATGTGTATATGAATTAATTAATGATCACCTGTTATTTTGTATTTGCTTTGTTTGTATTAGTTTTTCTGTTTACATTAAAGTATGAGTTTGATTCAACTGAACTAATTTAGTTATTATTTGAAAATGTAACAATTTTTTAGTTACATGTTACTAGCTTTGTATAAAATAAATCAATTTGTCAAGTTTGATCAAATACAGCAATTTAATTATTTTTCCATAATTTTTTTTTATTTTCTCCATATTAACTGCATAAAAACACTTCATAATACTAAATTATTTGTTTGTTAGGATCTATAAGGTTTATAGAGAATCTGAGAGATTCTATGTCTTTAGGGTCAAAAATTAGAACAACCATTCTTTACCCTATAAAACCCCATTCCCATAGTCTGATAACGCTGGTTCTCTAACCCTTACCAAATTTTATTAAGATCCTAAAATATTTACTAGAGTTATCATGCTAATGGACATGTACACACACATATGAATATGAAACGATGGTTTTACATTTAACAACATAAAAACAAAAAAGTAAATCAGTCCTGGGTCCAGGTCTTACCATGAGGCGATGAGACCTTTGTTATATTCCCTACAATGGAAATTTTCTTATATGGGAAATTTTCTAAAAGATGGAACAACCTTGACAAATGGTTATCTTAATTCTAAACATAAGTAGGCCTATGCAATTGTATCTTGGTTTTTAAATTTTTTTTAAGATGAAACACACATACCTGAAGGACAAGCCATGACCTCTACATAATCATAAGGACATTTTCCCCTCTTAAGCTTTTGTACAAGATTCTGAATGTTGCGGAAACCATTCGCAATAGCAAATCTGAGCAAAACTTTCCCCTCCTTTTCCAATGTTACTTCTTGGAGATCTTGGTTTCTGTAGGCCAAACACACAAAGAATAATAAAACCGTGAAATTACCAAATGGCAAGAAATCACTTCAAAAAGTTAGCAAACCAACCAATTAAAAAGAAATAGTTCATTAATTGAATCATCTGGGATTGTTACCAGTATTTTTTCAATTGTCCACAAACTATCTCTGATTATTAATGAAAATATTACATTTTTAGAGGAAAGTAGAGGACATTGCTGATATCAACTTAAAACTATGAGTTATGATTGGATATTTAAGGAAGGATTAACCTTAAACTCATCTATGCACTTTGTAGTTTACTGCAGACAAATTAATTAGGAATGTGAGTAGATCTGAACATTTCTGAACATTTAGCTGGTGTTCAAAATGGTGTTGAAACATTACGGGAGTGAATATTTCATGTCTGATGCATTTTCCACAAAAACTGTAAACGAGATTGAAATTTTCAATAGAGGAGTGTTTTTTTATGAGTTTATTTTAAGTTGCATTATTAATACTATCATGCAACTTTGCAAAATCCAAATTTGATGGCTTTGTAAGGATTATACTGCATACAGTATTAGTATTCATAACTAAGAAGCCTATGAAAAATCTGCAAACAGCTAAAGTAGGTAAAATAAGTCATTAAACTTACAACATTAAAATTACAAATTATGAAGAATTCATCCACATAGATCCTGACAGGGTCAGAAAGAAAATGGAAGAAAGAAAAAGAACAAATTTATCAATAATTGAGAAATTGTATAGAAAAAGCATAGGTGTAAAGGTGAAAAGTGTTTCTAATATTTTGAGTAATCCATTTAATTTTTATGATGTACAGAAAACAACAACGGTTTTTTGAGGTTGATGCTAACTAACCTGAGAGTTCTGAAAGTAAGGTCAGGCTGGCAGTCTGGGAACAGTTCTAATGCAGCATATCTGAACAATTGGTGAGCCCAGCCTCCAGAGCCACTACCTTCACAGGCAGACAGGGGGTAGTGGTGTAGGGGAGGGGAGGGGGTCCAGGGGTAGTCAACCTCCCCCTCCTCCTCTGAGGTGAGAGAGCGGCCCTCAGCAATCAGCATCTGTTCTAGCTCAACTGTACAACAACCACAATGAACTCAAATCAACAATGAAATTCCAATAGCAAATACAAATGTGTGACATACTCTGGAAAAGGTTGATCTAAAAAGAAATTTCTTGTGCAAAAGGTGGACATTATATCTCTATAGCATAGCTCTGAATGAGCCAGGGTCCATAATACACTTTTGGTCCATGTGATGAACTTAATAAAATAATTCACAAAAACTCAATTTTGCACATTGTTAACCATTAGCTCTCAAAATGGTTTCCTTTTTGTGGCAAAACAAGAAAGTTGTATACAAACGGCTGTTACTGTTGTTTAGAATTAAAATGTATTGTATTTTTTGTTGGTGGAAGGTTCTTTCACACTGAAATTCTGTAACATTTCAATTTGTCTAAATCTTGATAAAGGGGGAAATACAGTTTGTTCTCAAAATGTAGGTGGTGTAGGCCTAAGTGAAAGGTTTCCTGTGTTCCCCCACCAGTTTTCTAGCTTAATGTATACATACACTGATCAGCTGTTGGCTGTTATTTCAAAGTTCGGCAGGTTCGGGTGAGACGGAGGGGATGGAATTGCTTCCCCTCAATTATGAATGGAGTATAGTGAAATAAACTATAAGACACAATTATGGCACAAACAAATTTTACAGAAAAAAAAACAACGATTACTAGATTTTGCAGGAATTATTTATGTCATTACTTTTTGAAGATTTTGAACACATAATTAATAATTGATCTTAGTAAACCACGTAAGGCACTAATAATACATTTTAAAGCTTAAAAAAAAGTGGTGAACTTACTTGCAGTGATAACACAATCAACCTCTCTACTTTGGTCAATGCTGCTCACAAAGTCCTGTCTGGAAGCTTCAAGTTTCTTGTCATAGCAAGGCATGACTGTGACATGGTAGATTGGCCTGCCTGCAATGATTCAAAAGATTTTTGCTAGATTTCTGCAATAATAGCAAGACTAAACATAGTAAAACACCTCAGGACGTTTTAGGACATAGTTACTCAGTTTTGATTTTTAAGGTAAAGCCAATTAAAAATAAATGGGTTTTAGTGGTTTTAGGGGACTAAACCAAAACAAATGCCCTTGTACTTGTTATAGTGTTCTAGTTAGACCACATATTGTCTATTAAGATCCATCTAGATAAAACTAATAGAAGGGTAAGATATGGGGCAAATATATCATGCAGAACCTAGCTGGTTGTCACAAGGAGCTAACACTCAAGTTCTGCACTAGTAAGTGTGTCATCTCTTGTCTTCTTAGAAACTGAATACTGTATTGAGTTTAAAAAAAGATTGTTGATGATTAAATTATGACAACATTATTAGAAGATGGTTCTAAATATTTAGCTCTACAATGGGTTAAACTTGAACATCTTGTGTAAAAATATTTTTCACCACACTATGATGTTTTTGGCTGTATTACATACGTTAATTGGTGGCTGAAAGTTACGTTTTGCTGGCCATGCCAGCTGTCATCGAAATTTGGGGACCGAGCAGGTTTTTACAGGCCGGAGCCGCAAAATCAGCTGTCCGCTTACTTACTTAATAACATGAACTTAATGACATGAATGCATTTTAAATACACAATCAAAAACCATAGCATTGCAATAGAATCGTGTTATTGTCACCATTGCCTAGCAACTATTTATTTTTATTTTTGCTGATTCCTCAAATTATTTCTTTACATAACCTTAATGTTGTAGTTGTGTTGACTATCAGTGTGCATTATTATTTATAGTGGTGAATAGTGGTAATAGGGTATAGTGTGGTGAAAAATAGCGTTCGTACCACGGGCAGAAATGGTTTTGCAGCTCTCGATCGATTTAAGTTCTCGACTTCGTCTCGAACTTAAAAACTATCTCGAGCCGGCAAAACCTCATTTTCGGCCCTAGGTACGAAATATAGTATTACTAACCTTCTGTTGTACATGGTAATTGTTTAGTTCTTTAAAATCAGACTAAATAAACACATAGATATTATTATTTGGGTTAATTGTGTAAACAAATTATTTATATTATTGTGTAATGGGTGCTACTATACTCATTACTCATCCATCATTGATATATAGAGTAAAGTAGGCACCTGATGATACTAACCCACACTAGCTGCCAAGTGGTCCTTGATGAGCGAGCCCATCACTTGCTGAGGAGATCGAGTTGTACTGATGTATGGCAGAACAAAGTTGCCATGAGTCTTCTCTGCATAACACACCCATCCTGAAACATAGCCAGCCCTTACTGTGTTAGTAAATAACGTAATACATTTTTGCTAAAGTATACATTGCTAACTATTGAGAAGAAATATTTAAGAGGGTCGTTTGGCACTTTCTAAACTCTGTAAAGTGTTATATTAGGCCTACACATTTACTGAATTTTTAACCCTTATTCTGCACTTATTTGTCACCAAACAGGATACAGTAGAAACTCAATCATATAGGGGCAGGTCAACAATGATTGATAAAGATACATCTAAAATTACTTACATAACAATAGTATCTCATGAAAAATACAGAGTCAATAAAAAAATTGTATTTTATAATGCTAGTGTGTTAAAATGTATTGAGTTAAACTAACCATTATTGATAAGTGGTAGGTCTTTCATATTATTGTTATTAAAACATCACATATTTGATGAAAATACAAAATAAAAAGCAGAACAAAGTAATATCACTGCAGAGCTCCAAGGTGATGTCACGCTTGCGTTAACAATCGTCTGCTCCTGCTGTGCACTACGTCACAACAGATCTCATTAGCTCCTCTGATGATGACGTAACTCTTGGAAGTCTCTGATTGGATGATCAGTAACCATAACAACTTGTGGAATGCAAAGACGAAGAGAAAGAATAGAAAAATTAAGAGAAAGAACAACAACATTTTGATGTTGTTATCTTATTGCCCTTTTTAGGAGTGTGATATTAGTGTGGCCTTAATATTAGCCTACTTTATAAAGTACTTGAACGTTTAAGTACCTGACGGCTCATATCCGATCCGATTCGAACTGAGCCTTAACTATCTGATTAAAAAGGAAATTTCACTATCCCCACATCTTCACTAATAAGCCCTCTTACTAAGTAATGGCCTGTCTTGCTAATTAATCTATTCTCGAACTACTCCTTCGATCATCCTATTAGGTATCATGCACCTAACAAAATTTCCAAAGAATAGCTGCAACCAAATACTTTTTTGTCATAAAAATCTTGTCAGAGTTTGCACTTTTTACTTGGCAGGATCTACTATTATGTCAGTGAATTTGAGGAGCAGTAAAATCAAAATGAGCGACCATTCTGTCTTCACACTACCATGGCCACAGTGAGACTGCCCTGACACACAGATCTATACGAGAATGGCCGAGCTACCCCCACTGTTCTCCCTCAGTGACTTACCAGGTTAATTTTGGAACGGCTTTTGTAAGTTGAGTCAGCTAAATACATTTTAGAATAATACTAGCTGTTACTCATAGGCTTAACCCCGTTTGACTTCATAGGTATTAATTACTGATGGGTCAGTACTTCACGTCAAATGTCGGTTCCGCCGGTTCTTGGCAAAAGAACCGGAATCGAGAACCGATGGTGAAATGGTGGTACCGGTACCTTCGGTACCAATGTTGTCTCGATCGCACAAGATGACGATGATGTTTCCGTGACCGCGGGAGATGATTTTGCCACAATCGCTATCGCGGACGACGACGATGACGTTACCTCGATCCCGGGAGACAATGATGACATCTAGATGGCCGCAAGAGATGTTCATGATTTTGCCGCGATCGTAGAGGAAGACGAAGAGGTTTCCGCGACGGTTCATGATTTTGCCACGATCACGGGAGATGATGATGACGTCTACACGATGACGTTTCTGTGACTGCGGGAGTCAATGATGATGTTTACATGGCCGCGGAAGATGACTTGGCCGCGATTGCGGACGACATCGATGATGTTACTGCGATACCAGGGGACGATGGTCTACATGGCCGCAAGAGATGCTCATATTGCCGTAGTCGCAGACGACAATGAAGACGTTTCCATGACCGTCGGAGTTCATGATGATGTCTACATTGCCGCAGGAGATGTTCATGGTTTTGCCGCCATGGCGGGAGACGATGATAACGTCTACACGACTGTGAGTGATGTTCATGATGTTGCCGCAATCGTGGAAGATGATGATGATGTCTACTTGGGCCGCGGGAGATTTTCATGATTTTGTCACCATCCGAAAACCAATGATGATGTCTACATGGCCGCTGAAGATGTTCATGATCTTGCCGCGACCGTGAAAAACAGTGATGATGTTTCAGTAATTGAGAAAGATATTTTGGATTTTGCAGTGATCTCAGAGTACCGATATTACTTTGAGTTTAACCATACTGAAAATATCAGGCTGGCACACTTCTATATAATACCTTAAATATGGTAGTTATTTGATGTGATAAGAAGGGTTTACACTTGGAAAAAGTGGTACCAACCCATCACTAGTATTAATTGGACGAAACGAAGTGAAGTCCTCATACTCCACTAAAGAATTTGGTTGCTAAATTTTTGTTACGGAAAGGCTTTTTTACTAAAACATCAAAAAATCTGATTCTTGTACCACAGATTTATTTTGTTGTGTAGTTCTTTCTAAGGTATATTTCAACAATTCACGATTATGTTTTCGATTTAATGTTATTAAGTAAATTAACGACTTTTGTGGTCGTGGTTTGTTTATTTGACTAGCGTAGCTTACGTCAGTTTAGAAATGTCAGCAACGTAACATAACATAAGTCCTTGTCTATGTCTTGTCAACAACAGGAACTACTATTTCGGCTTAAGGTATTTCTATTTCTGATATACAAATTTCAAAATAATTGGTTTACAAGTATTTTTTCAATCAAATTTTCTGTCGTCGATCGCCAGGTGGATTGGTGGATTGAGAGTGAAAATCTGAGTCGTGGATGAGATTGATGAGAAAGAGATTGGTGGTACGGTAAACAAAAACCAAGATAAGTTGGTGCATTTTGATTAAAACAATAACAGAATAAAATCACGTAAGTAAACAATTCAATGGCATAGGCTTAACCACGCCTTAACAATGCAAGTCTCAAACAAATCGGCCTCAACGCCTAAGTTTAACTTAACCTAAAATAACTGAACTTAGTGAAGATAAACTAACTAACTTAAAGATTATGGTTGGCTGATGATAAGGGTAAAAATGTGTGTTTGTGAACCTTTGAACATCCATGGGAAACCTGTACATAGTTTCCAAGATCTGGTTTGGTTAATGATTAAGTCAATGAGTCTAATTGAATCCAAAGATAACAAAATTATTACCGGTATCCAGCTACCCTAGGTTGTGGACACATGTTAGTAGCCTAAGTTATAAAACATTAGTTTATGATCCCAAGAAAAAAGGTCTAGGCTATGCTGAGCAGAGACTGAGAATGTAGCCTATGCCTACCCCATTAAGTAACTTATAGTGTTAACTTAACTTAATCATCTTGTAAGTTAGCCTATTGTTCAGTTTATTGGCCCTAAAATGTATGCCTAGGCCTAGGTATGTGGGTTAGATTAACTGTAAGCTAAAATTTTTAGGGTTAGCTAGGACAGTTAAGAAGCTGAATTAGGCCTATGTTCTGAGGTTGCTTAACTTATTTTGTGTGATATATACGCTAATGTTTTTTTTTACGCAGAGGATACGCGTCCGGTAACAGGACGTGGATTAGGCGTCCGGCAGTTACTGTCATAACCTAACATAACCAACCAAACTTGTTGATAATGAAAAAAATCAAATGAAGGTTAAATTCTTTTCATAACATAAAATTATAAATGCCAAAAATTCTACAAAAGATGTACAGTTAAGAAGAAATTAAGTACATTCAAAGCAAAATCTTTGACAAAAAGTTAAAGAAACCGATGGGTTTTGAACCAGGGACCTCTTGGATATCAGCCGAGCACTCTATCCACTACACCACGAACAACGCTGGCCAAATTTCGTATTGTTGTGGTAATGGCGTTCCGGGACCCCACAACCCGGTGACGTCACTACCGGACGCCTAAGTTAATCCACGTCTGGTTACCGGACGCGTATCCTCTGTGTTTTTTTAAATGTTTTGAAAGTGAACGATCCAAACCATGGTCTTGTTACTACCCAACAACCTTATATTTTTTACACCTTTTTGTTACACAGAGTAGCCTACCTATACACGTCCGGTAACCGGGCTTGGATTAATAGGCGACAGGCGTCCTGCAGTGACGCGACCGGGTTGTGGGGTCCCGGAACACCATTACCACAACGATACGATGTACAGCCATCGGTGTTCGTGGTGTAGTGGATAGAGTGCTAATATGCAAGAGGTCGCTGGTTCGAATCCCATCGGTAACTTTAACTTTTTGTCACAGATTTTGCTTTGAATGCAATTTCTTCTTAACTGTACATCTTTTGTTCGAATTGTTGTTATTTATAATTTTATTTTATGAACAGAATTTAACTTTCATTTGATTTTCTCATCATCAGCAAGTTGGGTTGGTTTGGTTAGGCTATGACAGTAACTGCAGGACGCCTAATCCAGGTCCAGTTCTCGGAAGCATATCCTCTGTGTTTTTGTTATTCATAATTACAAATAGTATCTGCGTCTGAAAACAATCTCCCTTGGAATCAAATCAGCAACCTGTAGATTTTAAGTTGAGCTCTATAACAACCTCTCTTTTGGCCTACCTAGACAATATTTAACTTCTACAAAGTTATTTGTTTTCTTGAGCTAAAACAACACATTATTTTCTAGATAACTTAGGCCTTGGCATTAATTTTAAAAAGTGTTGCACATAATTTTGATAAAACGAGTGGCATCCTTTTTAACAGAAAATTTATACCTAAAACCCCAAATTTGCTCTAGCCTAGCCGGCTGCACGTTAGTTTGTGACGTCCTACTCATTCGAATGAAGAATATCAATATATAGACTATTCGATATATTGATTACGGTATTTCATTCGTTTAGTTAGGTTATGTCAACCTAACTAAGTTAACCGAATGAAATAGGCTAATCAATATATTGATTTCAGATCGATATATTCATTCGAATGAGTGTATGACGTAAACTAAAGTGCAACCGCCTAGCCCCTTTTGTTAAAATGAGGGAGTTAGTAACTTAAGTTAGTTTGTGGTCTCAGATGACAACAGTGGCATTTTAGACGACAGACAAAATATAAGTTGCGCTTTTAGGGAAAGCGGTCCAAACGCGTAAGTT